ACATGGCCTTATTTCACCATGAACCAAAGACTGTAGGCTCCTTTCAACCCAGCCGTACTCTAACTAAACGCTGCACTATCATTATGCACTTAAGCACTAAATGCATTAAACATTATGCATATATGCGCAGAACAAACTAACTGCGCGCCACTATTCCCTACCACTATCCGCAGACAACAATACACCTATCACAACTGACATAATAAAGATCAGCCACTCCCTGAAATTGATAAATGCACCTTTCACATGCAAGAATTGCCTAAAACGTACAAAAATAGTACGAATAAACCAACAAATAAAGTTATTGATTGTTTAATCACTAATCTACACTAAATATTACGCACGAAATAACAACCTAACTGAATATAAGAGCCTATTCAAACTATATGTTTACACTAAATTCTGCTCATCTAAGTCCAGTATTGCGAGCCATGGCGCACACCTTATATGCCTATCTATAACAGTGTATATACTTGTTTTCAACCACTAGAAACACAGATGCACACAGTTCGTCAATCTACACGTGAGCACACCTAAGTGCACTATCGCAGCAGCGAAATTTCAATTACTTAACAATCTATCAAGGTTCTAATCATGAAATAACAAATATTATTCTAAACACATACAAATCGACAACCAAATAACACCCAAAATAGAGAAGCACTCATCTTGCAACGTCACAACAAAGAGGGGGAGAGGGACGGGAGAGATGCAACCCGGCCATCGCAACCCATGCATCCTCCCATGGCAAATCACACACCACACCCTCACCTGCACCGACCCCACGTCTCATAGCACGCACTCGCCACATATACCCCACGCCCATTACACACAATATAGCAAATCTTATCACACCGGCTGCATCTAATAGCAGACAAATCACATATAATGCGCATCTGTAGCTTCACACTCTATCCCGAGAGCGATCACCACATGTAATGCCGACATGCACCATGCGATCAACTCCCAACGTCACTCGACCCGACATCTCTCCATTAATCTAGCAACCCCCATAATTTCACACTCACCGTGATCTGCATAACCTAACACCGCCTTCTCACTCCACACTCAACCCATTTACAAACTAACAATCGCTAAACTACCTACCTAACCCAACCTGAGACTTATACACACAGTTACACACGTCAAGAGGCAGTGGGGAGCCACGTCAGGTTTGTGCTCGGGCAATGTGACTGCCACGCTCATTAGTAATTATAAGCATCTTCATTTCATCGCGTGGGGGCAACTACCCACCCCAGCCATCGACTGACTGTTTATCTAGCAATAGTTTCTGCCATAAAAGAACATTATGAAACAACAACTTCTGTGCTACAAGCTGTTTAAGTATTTTACTACATATATATATACGCGCAAAGCAAACTAACTTAGAAAAATTTAGCTGTGCAAGTCTTCAGTTGAAAGTGTGCAACTCAACAGTGAGGATGACTAATCGGCACTCACAAACCTAATGAAACCTTTCTGTCACCATCATCAAGATGGCTGAAAACATATTGCGTACTTTTGAGAATAAGTCAGCAGCAGAAAAGACACAAAAAGCAAGGTGTTATGCTAGCAAGGTAACAATGAGGGTAAGTGTACCATAATGCCATCAGAATTTGATAATAACTTGTGCCTGCACTTGCATATTATAATGCCGTCATAAATATCACATATCATGGCATGTAAGCTAAACTCACTTATGCCTAGCGGCTAGCAATGCCAACGTGCAATCCTGTGATCTGGCATGAAAATTCTATACAGCATATGCTCTTGCCACTGACCACATAGTAAGGATCTAAATGATCTAATGAGGTACTAGCCGCCCCCCCCGCCACCCAACTACTTACACCTCAGACATTGTCTAGTGGCTAAGCTTGTGACTGCCAAGAAAAAAAACTAATAATACCGCGCTAAACATCAAATGTGAACAACACATTTAACAAATACATCAGGTCGGCCTAAACTAATAAAACAAACAGAATTTGATTAAATCCTGTAACTGTGCACGAGATTCCCCTGCCAATTGCCTATAAATAATCTCCCTGCCCACCGAGAGTCCGCCTAGCCTAGATTGTTTTACATCAAGAGTACATGTAAATAGGAGAGTTATCTGTACCAATGATTGTCCTTAATTGCTGTGCTAGATTTATCGTGCCGTAGATTTGTATACGATATACCGTTCAAGAAAATGATAATAGAGATTAGGGGTTAGATGTTTTAAGGTAACACTTGCGTTGATGTTTACCCGCGTAATGCTATTATATTATTAGTTATTGATATTATCTACTAAAAATCAAAAGTAACAAAAACGGTTTGGTAGTAGAACCGACCTATTGTTCCTTTTTTTTCAACGCACCTCACAGTCAACATTTGCATTGCTTAACGCTCCCGATTTTGGCATCGTAACAGAACAATTCATGACCTGGTGTTCATGACTCAGCAAACATAGTTTGTTTAACTCAACCCCATACAATGATTTCCTCTGTCGCAAAAATTCCCTGTTCCCTTGGCGACAATGCACTAAATAGCATAATTAATAGTTGTATTTGCTAAATAATAAATTTTTGTATAAAGAAGAATAAATCTTTTTTTTGTGGTGTTTGATCTGAAAACTGGAATAGCAATAAAAATTGAATAACTGAGCGGTACCAATACCCCTCTAATTAGCGTACTCAATACGTCCAAGATACCGTTCCACCACGAAAGCATGGAAGACACTAGCTGCAGAAAAATTGGACTCGGAGTAAAACCGTGTCCATATAGTGGATCTGGCTAAGATGTTGTGGTTTTCCTCGTGGGGCTCGCAAGGGCAAGTTGTACAGTATTAAAAGGTCTTCTAATCAATATCATTTGTATGGATTTAAAAACTGAAAATCTTAAATTTGAACATAACCATTACTTGTGCTTAACTAAATTAACCCATCAGCAGTAAATAAAAATTTAACACATAACCATCTAAATGAAAGCAAAAAACCCAGAAAATAATCATATAAACTTTATCCTGTTTAGGTTGACAATATACGATCTAAAACCCGCACTTATATTACTCGCCCATTCAATTAGATGATCCAAAGTGGAGGCGTGCCCAGGAAAATTACTGTGCACGGGCGGCGCAGAACAAGGCTGAAAACGTTTGGCTTCTATTGCACGAGGGTGCCTCCTTATGAAAACACAGCTGCTGTGAGCGTTCCACAATTTGCGTCTCTTAAAATTTATAGACAGGTTACTATAGTTACGTCCCAACAGCCTGAAGCCAAGAATGAATAAGGTATCTAATCTAAAATGCAAAAATGAGATCTCAATAAGCAATATTCTTCGCGCCGTAATGGGCCTGTGCGAGCCACGCTTTATGTGCAGCAATCTCCTAAATCGCCCTGATAATGTTGTGCTTGTCTCTAGTATCTAATTTTACTAATTTTCGAACAGTTGTGTACACTGACTGATACAACTTCTTTGCATGGACTAAACAATGTGCATGTAAACTGCAGAATGAAAGTGATAAAAAGGTAAAAAAACATTTTATTTCCGTCGAAATTTATGAATGTTACATACGTAAAGTACCCATACCTCCAGCTCAGCTCAGACAATGTGAGCCAATGTTAATTAATTAAGACCAAAGCATAGCTCTGTTAATATAAAGTTGTACTGTTCAGATCTCCCATGTTAAGTAAAGCCCCCGTAAATTAATTCATACGAAAATAAAACTAGAATTTTAGTTTTAGTGCCTGCACTTGAATATGTTCGTGCAAAATTTCTAACTCCTGAACATACATGAAAGTATGTATTCCTTACCAAAAAGCAACTGTCGTATTGCTAAAGCCATTTTTATAGTCATATTGCATGTACTTGAGCTGATGCAGGACGGCTACAAGCTATCACTAACAACTTGTTTATTTTTCATTTCGAATAGATTACCACGCTTTGTGCAAAAGATGAAATATAAAGCGATAGGATCATGTCCCTCACAGGTACATCTAGGGTCGCCCTGTACGGTTCGACAAATATCTTATTATACCCCGCTCGAGGTACATATCCTATAATTCGCTGCGTACCCTGCATTGTCACCGTACCCCTGACTCTTTAGCCCATACAGATCATGAAAATCATGCAAACCAATATACACTATTTTTGCAGAAAAATGAAAACCTAGTGACTGACAACATACACGCAAGGTATGCCGCCTCAACCTGCATATTGATTTTTTTTTATTAAATTCATATCAAAATCCATTTTATTATGGTTAATCGATGAGTATTACAATAATGAAACATTAAACTACCGAGAACTACTTAAGCTTTTATTAACTTTTCTAAAGTTATCATCATAATTGATGATTCATCAATTAAATCTCATAATAATTTCTGCTGATTCACCAACTGTTTGTTGAAAGTCAGGACGCGGACAACGGCAGGTACGCAGCGACATATCTAATACCTCCGAGGTACTTTCCGATATATCGAACGCGTACCTCTGGAGGACCAGAGACCTCTACTAACTCAGACGATATAAACAGCTGAACATATTCTGTTATGTATAAGTTCGACTATTGTGTATTGTAAATTATTCAATTGCAGCTAATAATCCAAAATTAGTTGGGTACCCCAGTTTGCCAAATATCAATCATAGAATGAGTTATCTGTTCTGTCCCAATAACTCTCACCAAAATATAAAAAAGGTTATATTGGACAGAATTATTCGGTCTAGTGTTTGTATATATATCAGATCTATGAGTATGGCCAAACTAATCTGTAATCATATGGGCATGGGTGCTAATTAAACTACTGACTACTGTCTGAGTCTGCAGCCAAGCCGGTAGTTTACTAGCTGTTTAGTCCCCCCACAAACAGTGAGTTGGGCAAAGCTCAGCGGCAAGTTAGACACCATGTTGATATATATTCGTGGGATGTTGTGTGAGCGTTGTGGTGGGCAGACTTGATCCCACTGCCAGTGGTATAGACTATAGATAACAATAATATTAATAATCTATTCCAATCTCATAGAACAAAGATGACGCCACGTGGAAGAACACACAAAAATGGGGATTGCTTTCATGGTCCAACAAATACGTATACAGTGACAAGTCCAATAGGTGACATCCTCGTTACGAGTTGTCCTCGTGGAGTTCACAGCATAGAGCAGCAGAAAGGAATAACTGATGACGACTTTCTACCCAATGTCAGGTATGGTTCTCTTACATGAATGGACCCAGTGTTGGACCACCGTAATAATTATGTTTATTTGATTTACGTACTCACAGTTGCATTGCAGTGTTAGTTGCAGTCAGCGCAGAAGTTCCTTTGCCATTTCTGCTGTTTTTATAGTTTGAAACTTTTAAATAATACAGCTTATCTAAATGTGTACGTGCTGGCCTCTGTTATGTTCTGCCAGTGGTGTAGACAGGTCCTCAGTTGTGGGGGGTGGGGGGGGGATTTCGCTGTTACTTCCATCACAAAGTATACGAAGAATGTACGCACACACCGCAAACACCTTGGCTTGAATTAACACCTTGGCTTAATGGGTGGGGTCCAGGGGGCATGCAGAGCCACTGGCCTCTTGGATTTTAGCAATTTAGAACACCTTCAAGATGGTCGTTTTTGAGGGAATAGAAAAAAAATTGAAATTGTAAGTGCAATATTTGTGAATTCTAGGGTTATTTAATTTTTTCTTTGGCTCCCAGAACGGGCAGCCTTGGGCTCCACATGGCCTTGGCCAACGGGCTCCTTTAACCAGCTCCCAGAACACACAACCCCCCTCCCACAACTATACATCACTGGAATCAACCCCCCCTGAAATTTTGATAAAACATTTTACTGAGAATGCTAAAACTGTACAAAAAAAAGTATGAGAAAAGCAAGAGATTTTTTTATTTGACTCTAATATTACTGAAAATCAGAAACTATTCAAATTATTGAACTATGCTGTCATGACTGCATGGGCTATAGCTTATTATATATACGTTGTTTTGCAAAACCCAGTTCATTGTTACGAGCACCAGAAATTTTACATCAAGGTTTGAATGAAATAGTTTACGTAAAATAAATCAAAGACCAAATATAGAATTTGTGTTCACGTAAAAAGATATATTGTTTACAAATCAACCGGTCTTACAATACACGTCAGTTCCGTCTCGTATGTCTACCCGTCTTCCAGTCCACTCCCAAAGACACAAAGAAACGCGCACACGTGCACAAACGCGTGTGCTCACTCCCGGGATCAACCCCAGACTCCGGACTCCTACATCTCTCCACTAGATCTGCACCCCTATTTCACACTCACCCGTGTATCTGCATAACCTAAACACGCTTGTCTACTCGCACACTCAACCTAGTTACAAACTACATGCTAACTACCTGACTCTACCCAACCTGAGCTTTATACACATGTTACACTGTCAAGAGGCAGGGGTGGGGGAGCCACGTGTAGGTTGTGCTCTGGGAAGGTGACTGCCACTGACCATGTAATGTATAGATCTTCATTTATCGGGGTGGGGGGTGCAACTACCCCCGCCAGCCATGACTGACTGTTATCTAGCATATTTTCTGCATTAATTATGACATTTATTGAAAGAGACAAAATTTTGTGGTACGAGTCTGGTTTATGTATTTTACTACATATATTATAGTCGCATAGCAATGCTAACTTTAGAAAAATTTCTGTGGCAGTCTTCAGGTTGAAAGTGTGCACCAACAGTGGGATGACAATGGCTACACCTATAAACCTGCTGTCACATGCATCAAATGGCTGAAAACATACTTTGAGAATAGTCCAGCATTGAAAGACACAAAAAAGCCAGGTGTTTGCTTAGCAAGGTACAATGAGGGTAAGTGTAGCCATATGCCTTCTAGGATTTGATGATAACTTGTGCCTGCATGCATATTATATGGCCGTATAAATATCACATTCAGGGGCATGGGTAAGCTAAGCTCACTTTGCCTAGGGCTACAATGCCACGTGCAATCTGTGATCTGGGCAGTTGATCATGAGCAATTTGCTCTTTGCCACTGACCATAGTATAGTATCTAAATTTGTCTATGAGGTACTGCCCCCCCCCCCACCCAACTAGTTACAGCCCTGACATTGTTATTGGTGCTAAGCTTGTGACGTGCCATGAAATAAAAACTAATATTACCTGCTAAAATCAATGTTGACAACTTGACAGTACATCAGGTCTGCTAAAACGTGATAGTAAAACAAACAGAATGTGATTAAAAAACCTGTAACTGTGCTACGAGATTCCCTGCCAATTGCCATAATAATTTCCCTGAGAGATGTCGCTAGCTGAGATTTGTTTACATCAGAGAGTACATTGTATAGAGGGTTTCTGTCCAATGATTGTCTTAATGTGGCTGGTGCTAGTTTATCTCCGTAGATTGTTACGATATACCGTTAAGAAAGATGAATAGAGATTGGGGTTATTGTATGTTTAAGGTAACACTTGAGTTGATGTTTACCGCGTAATGCTATTTATTTATTAGTTATTGAGTTATTATCTACTAAATCATAAGTAGACAAAGGTTGGTATGTAGAATCGACCTTGTTCTCTTGGTTTTTTGTCACGCAGGCTCACAGTCAACATTTGCATTGGCTTTATACGCTCCCGATTTTGCATGTAATAGAACAATTATTGCCTGGTTGTTCATGATCAGGCAACATGGAGTTTTGTTTAACTCAACCATACAATGATTTCTCTGTCCACAAAATTTCCCTGTTTCCCTTGCGACAATGCACTAAAGATAATTAATAGTTGTATTTGCAAATAATTATAATTTGTATAAGAAGATAAACTTTTGTTTTGTGGTTGTTTGTCTGAAACTGAATAGCAATATAAAATTGAATATCTTGAGGTAACCAATTCTAATGTAGCGTCTCATCGGTCTCAGATTCGTTCCAAGCGAAGGCATGGAAGACACTAGCTGCAGAAATTGGACTCGGAGCAACCGTGTCCTATAGTGATCTGGCTAAGATGTGTGGTTGTCCTCGTGGGGCAAGGGCAGTTGGTCAGTATTAAAGTCTTTCTAATGCAATACATGTGTATGGATTTAAAAACTTGAAATCTTAATTGTGACAAACCATACTTGTGGCTTAATATAAGTAACATGCAGCAGTAATACGATTTTTACACATGAACCATTATAATGAAATGCAAAACCCAGAAAATAATCTAGAAACTTTATTCCTGTTTAGGTTTGGCAATGCGATCTAACCCACTTATGTTACTCGTCCCATGTCATAGAGTGATCCAAAGTGGAGGCGTGCCAGGAAATTACTGTGCAGGGCGCAGAAACAAGGTGAAACTTTGGCTTCTATTGCACGAGGGTGCCTCCTTATGAAACACAGCTGGCTGTGAGCGTATCACATTTGTCTTAAAATTTATAGGAACAGGTTATATTAGTTATCGGTCAAAGCCTTGAACAAGAATGATAAGGTATTATTCTAATTCAAAAATGAGTCTCATAAGCAATATTCTTCGCGGTATGCCTGTGTCGGGGCCACGTTTAGTGTTGCAGGCAATCCTCTATCGCCCTGGAAGATTGTTGTGCTTTGTCTCTGTATTTAATTTTTTACTATTTTTGACAGTTGTCGTACTGGACTGATAATATCTTTTGCATGGATAAACAATGGTGCATGTAAACTGCAGAATGAAAAGTGATAAAAGGTGAAAAATACATTTTATTTTCCGTCGAATTATGGAATGTTACATACGTAGTTACCCACTTCCAGCTCAGCTCAGAAATGTGGTCAATGTTATTAAATTAAGCAAGCATAGCTGACTTATATTAAAGTTGTACTTGGTTCAGACTCCATGGTTAACGTAACTTAATTCAACTGAAAATAAAACGTGGATTTTAGTTTTTATGTGCTCATGTCGAATATGTTCGTGCAAAAATTTTCTACCTCTGAACATAATGAAGTATGTATTCCTGTACCAAAAAGCAATGTCGGTATTTAAGCCATTTTATAGTATATTGCATGTACTTGAGCTGAGTGCAGGGACGGCTAGAAGGCTATCACTATACACTTGTTTTATTTTTCATTTTCGAATTAGATTTACCCTTTGTGCAAGATGATAGTAAAGCTGATAGGGTCTATGTCCCCCAGGGTACTATCGGAGGGTGCCCTGGGTACGGTTCGACATATCGTATAGTACCCCGAGGTACTATACCATATGTCGCTGCGTACCCTGCATTGTTCCACCGTACCCTGACTTTTAGCCAACTGATCATGAAAATCATGCAGAACCATATACATATGGTTTTGCAGAAAAATGATAATTTTTAGTGGATGACAACATTACCACCGCAAGGTATTGCCGCCGTCACGTGCATATTGATTTTTTTTTATTTGATGTCAATATCAAACCATTTTTATTTATGGTAATGATAGTATTACAATGATAACATTAAACTACGAGACTACTAGCTTTTATTAATTTTTATAAATTATTCGTATTAATTGAAGATTCATCAATTAATCTCAATATTTTTGCTGTTTCACAGACTGTGTGTGTGAAAGTCAGGGTACGGTGGGACAATGCAGGGTACGCAGCGACATATCGTATAGTACCCCGAGGTACTTTCCGATATATCGAACCGTACCCAGCTAGGGTACCCTCCGATAGTACCCTGGGGGACATAGACCCTATATCAGCGATAGTAAAAGCTGAACATATTCTGTTTGTATAAGTTTCCTATTGTTGGTATTGTAATTATTTCAATTGCAGCTATATCCAAAATTTTGTTGTACCCAAGTTTGCATAATATGCAATGCATATGATATGATGGTTATCTTGAATTTGCAGACACTTTGGTTATTAATAGCAATGGGGCTAAGGAACATGGTTTTCTTTACAATTTGTGCAAGAGCTGCATACGTTATTATATTCCAATATGTGTGTAACACTTTCAGAACTAACAAGAAGTCAGCAACTATTTTGAATTTTTGCGATATATAAAATTTCGTAATATTCTTTCAGTATAATTTTTATTGCTTTGCATGATTGTAAAATTATTCAACCATGCTTGTATTCTTGTACTAAAAATAACAAGCTGTTTCTACCATAGCGATTATCATAATGAGCGTTGTCTGGGATTTGCTTACAAAGTATAACTAATTTTTATATGTTGTTTAACATAAATGCTGTACAGACCAACATATTTTGTTGGCATGATTTTGGTAAAATATGTATAAAATATGGCAATATCTGGCATTACGTAATACATCTAAGAAAAAAACGTTTGTAATGAGAAAATTTGTCACGTGAAACACGTTTTACCATTCACTTATAATTGAAGATACGTTCCTACATTCTACAGGAAAACAGAGATTAGAACTAGAAGGTCAATTAATAATGCAAGTCGACTCTTTAAACACACATTTGTTATTCCATCGTGAGTAAATTGGTACTAATTTACAAATTACACATGCAAATTTACTTAACCATGATTGTCGTAATGCAGGGTATTAATGTAGGTATATAGTGGCTTTTCAAGGCTGATATATCTCTTAATTATGTATAACATAGTTTCTATATATTTTTATGTATAAAGAAAAACAGGATGAAACAAAGGTCTAATAAAGTGCCATTTATAATATATAATGATATATCATAGTGCTTTGCTGTTATATTTTATATAAAAAACATGATTTTGCTTAGTTGTGTTAGACTTATTCAATTTCACACGAAAATAGCATACTTTAAACAAGAGCCGCAGAGCGTCTGGGCTCATCTGAGGTCTGTTGCTACAATTATAAACGTAACATTTAAGTCGTGCGTAGTGACACCTTTGTTAGGCGCAGATATGCAGATACGCAGTTGCGTACACATCATTTCAGCAACCTTCGGCATTCTGCATACCTCCCAAATCCCATTGGTTGATACAAATCGCGTGCCTGAAACTCCTGTTTTATGGTGCATTGTGACCCTAACCCTAACCCTATTAAAAAGAAATTATTTGTTATTAAATTTTTGTAAATAAATCATGTAAAAATAGTTAAATGGAAAAATACAGAAAACAGGTAAATAATAAAAAATCTGATGGAATTCGATCCAAGGACCTTTGAGCCGTAATCCTGTGCTGTACCCGTTGGGCTATCAGGGCATATTGGCTTTCCAGATTATGGATGTGCCATGAATATGAGAACACTGTGACATCATTGAGGCAGTTCAGGAATCCATGTTTAACCCTCCTCTTGAATGTCCAAAGGTTTTCAGACACTTACTCTTTGCACGTCAGTGGAAAGCACATTTCATGGTCCTTTCAATAAAGTGATAAAAATGGTAGGTGAACAAAAAAGTTTTCCACTGTCCATTAGGCCATGTCCTCAGAAAATGTGTGATATCTGACCTTTCCCCCACTGCCCTTTGACCTGTGACCTCCAATTTCGCACTGGTGATGGGTTTCCTGCCCATCACACTATACACCGAATATTAAGAGCATAGGTCAAGCCATTCAGATTTGTGCTGCAATTCTGCATTTCCTCCCTATACCTTAAGTTAAGGAGGGAATGTTCCCCCTTCTTTTATACCTCTTGACCTTTGACCTTTGACCCCCAGCTTCGACATCCCAACTCGTTTTCGGATTACCCCCTATGTCCCGACTTTCGAATCCGTACGTCAAGCCGTTTAGATTTGTGCCCAACTGTTGACGGACGCACGCACGCACGCACGGACAATCATGCGATTCTACAAGCTGCATCTGACTAGGTCAGATGAGCTAATAATTGATTTATAACAATATGAAACTGGTGAGGGGACAATTAACTCCAATTTTATCATATTGATTGCCATGTTTGAATTTCTTCTTAAATATGACTATATCCATATTAGGAACGAGATTAATGTTCATTTGGGAGATATCATAAAAAAGCAAGCGAAACGGTGAAAACTCGCCTCCTAGGGTCAAGATAGCTTCTCTGCCAATGAGTAGATGATACTTGGTTCTCGGAAGCTTCACTTCATGTGTCCAAATGTTATTGTCATTATAAAGCAATGCTATAAACCACGTTGCTTATTAGGTGTGCATAGCAGAATGTCCTACGGGCAATTGATCTTTGGAATTTTACTGTATTCTCGTACTAATGTGAGGATTTTAACGTACATACTGAATATGAGCACTAGTGATCAAACTGTCAAGATTGAAACCAACATTACTGTCGGATACTATTGTCATTCTACGAATGCTACCTGAATAAAAATAATTATTTTAATACTTAATAGTCCTATTTCATTTATTGTAAAAATACTTGCAGTGCTACTTTAGCCATGAATTCAATTGCTGACATCCAATGATGGAACGATGATTCCATGCAAGCTATAGAAACAGACGTGTCCACCATCCACTACTGCCCATTGAATTGGTACGTCATCTGCTAAGCTTGACTGTAATCTACTCAGCTGAAGTAGACTAGGTAGTGGCTGTTCATGACTAAAAGAACAAATATTGTGATGGCTTGACATGATTGGCTTACCTTAAACTTTAAGTTAAAGTGTCATATATATTTTTGTAAGTTATTGAAAAGTTTAATTAGACGTGAAATCAATTTCATATTTTACAGATAAATTTGCACATTAACTTGCAATACTTAATCACTATTAATATACCTTCTCACACAGATCCTGTGGATTGGTAAGCCAGGAGAACTTTTCTTAAATCGCTGACTTGGGAGGTAAACATCAAAATCCACTGCTATGTTTTTTACCTTAAATGGTACGCTGAAAAATATGGAAACTTTTACAAACTGACCAAAGCTTGCATCAAGCTTTCTAGGATCATGAAAGCAGTGACTAACAGATGTGGTTAAAAGTTTACCTTTCTATTTTCTTGAAATCAGGAGTGATACTCTTGACTTTGTCGAGACTAACCAATATGTCTTCAATTGAGTTTTGCGTCGTTGATCTAACGAGAGGAAAGCAGCCAAACCTCTTCAACTGATGATTCGCCTCAGATTCTTTTACATCAATTACAGTACTCTTCTTAAGCTTCTGTATTTTGTATTGCTTCCAGTTAGTTGGATTTACACATGTATCATATGGTAGGTTGTTGGCTTGAAAATGAGTGACCAACTTACTCTTGTTCATACATGATTGATTTTCTTCCCGAAAATCGCAGCCTACCAGAACAGGTGGTTGCCTGTTACATTGACTAATCTCTTTTGAAGGTTGAGCCATTATTTCTTCTCTCCGATGTGATGGTTTACCTCTGGCAGTACTGAATCTCTCATCAGACAAACACAGTGAGCATCGGTTCCTGTGCATGCGTACATCGTGACGTGTACAAGTTCTACTGAAGCGCTTTTGCCTTTCGACTTCAAGTCGCCCCATATTGAGAGTGCAGGTCTCTGCAGTGACTAGCGTATTCCTTGGCAGAAGGTTCACGTCCGGAATTGGCATCGTAAGGCGACTCCCTACTAGAGTACCTAGGTCAGGTACATAGATGCTACTAAACTTTTTGATGCTCTCAATTTGTTTTATGTATGTCTTAGGGGGCGTGCTTAAAGTGTCCGTGTGACAAACCTCTGTGTTTGCCCTCACTGAGGTTAGCTTTTGCTTTTTTTTATTAATTTCGTCACTCGAGAGTATTTCCACCTGCTTAACATCGAAATTCTCTGCCTGACTTGAGATGCTGTGTTCACTGGAGTCTGCTGCCTCATTACCATCACAATCTATACACAATGGGCGAGTTGTCTTTTTCTCCTTGACATGCTGATCAAGTCGAATGTGCCTTTCGTAACGAGTAAATGAAGACCTGTAACAGTGATGTACATTACTCATGCAGAACTGCAGGGCTACAACATCTACTGTTGCCATGTATTATTTTAGGTGATGATAAGGGATACTATCAGGAGTGTATCAATATTGATCAATATCAATATTGATACACTCCTGATACTATGGTTGAAGGTTTAGGTGAATGAGTAATAAAGGTAGACAGTTGTGGTAGTGGTTATTTTTTACACATAAGAGATAAGATCTATGGTCAAAAGGTTTACTGACCTTTCAAGAATATAACATACTCACGGTATAGACTACAAATCAGATTATATACGAATTATTAAATAGTGCATAATGCCAGAACATCAATTCAACTGCCAAAAACACCTAATGCTAATGGAATAATTTTGTACTAACTTTCCCTGGTGGGGTAAGACAATGAACCCTAGCCGTGACAGATGGCCATAAACAAAATATCTGTTAAGTGCTGCAGTCGTTGGCAGAATATGCAAGTATGCTTCTTGGAGAGACATTGGCACATCATTGAAGCATACCTCCATGTCACCCTGTATTAATAGGTGTTAAAATATGTATAAAAAACATGTGGGCATGCTGTACTGTGACAAATTGTTTTTTCACCGACCACCATTAGTTTGCATTTGTGGTATCTACTTGCCTTGAAAGTGTTAATAATTAAGTGTCAAAAGTAACACATAACTCTTGGAATAACATCGTTTGATTTAAAATTTAAAATATGCTTTTTAGTTTCTAGTAGCTTAATTTTGTGATAGATTATAATCCAGCCTAGTGATAAATTTCTAGAATAATATTTGAATTTTAAATAGAAAAGTACATACAGTGTCAATTAGAAACAAAGCTTCTTCTGGCTGAAGTACCATTTTCCCATTGTTGCCAACATGACCAAAATGCTTACTAAATTTGCCCTGAAATAAAAAAAATAGTTCAAGTATTAGTTGCATATTCTAGTTAATAGGTTTTAGCTCTTGATAATACTCTACATCATATGATAACAGGGTTCTCCCCACACCTTTTACGCATTGTCAGGCCCAACATGCCATCAAAGCTGAGCGAATTTGCAACATTCTCTAAATCCTCTGACACTACATCGACAATTTCCAGGCGTGTTTACTTTTGACAATCCCATCACAGTCATGCTGATCTTTCGGAGCTTGTTGTGTGCGTATCTGAACTAATAGAGTTTATCTATGTATTGTAGATGCTTCGGACACACGTAATTAACTTGAATTAGCACTCGCGGATGAATTGCTTGATTCCCTGATAGTCTTTCGGAAATTACTGTGGAAAACCCTGGATGGCTATAGCAGTGTTTCCCCTGCATTGACATGAGTGAGGCGGCCCGCCTCGCTCAAATTCTCAGCCGCCACACAGAAATTTGTCCAAAACACTACTTCGCCAGGGATAAAAATTAACTTTTGAACAAGCAAGTCCAACGGACTCCCTACCATCAAAAAGAGGGAGTCCGAGGTATACAAGTAGTACTGCAAAAAGGTCACTTGCGGTGCACGTCTGCCAAATTTTCCTGGGTCATTTGCTAAAAAATACATGGTAATTCCGCGATACCGTGCTCTGGAACGAACTAGTTAGCATAGCATAATTTTCAGGGAGTCACACGGACTCCTGCATATGTCAAATCAGGGAGTCCGACAGTAAATCAGGGAGTATTTGACTCCGGAGTCGCGTTAATTTCGCACCCTGCCTCGCTGATGAAACTTTTGACAACTTAAAAAAGAGATTTAAGAGTCTCATACAATGTGTTCAGAATAGCTTAGAATCTGAATGCACGAAATTGCACCATTTTCTCAAAAATTCCCGTGGGAGCATGCCCCCAGACCCCTAGCTTGGCCAGTACCTACGCTGCTCCCTTTGCTGACCTCGAAACGCGCAAACACAGTAAAAACATGCTCCACCTCACAGACCTTTCTGGCCTGGGGAAACACTGGCTATAACATGCAAATATATGGTTATTACCGTGCATTTAGTGACCTCCACAAGTTGTGCTTTTGGATCCCATGTGCCTTGTGAAAGGTTTAACCTGAAATAATAAGGAAATAATACTATACAAATCCTCCTCGTTAATATTTGAATGAAAGGAATTGTGGGAAAAATATCATTAATCTTACCATGACTAGTCTTTGTCCAAAGTGGATGTAATTTGATGCAAAACTCAAATAATAAATTAATAAAATCTCCCTTACACTTTGTTAACTCTTTCATCTTCAAGCAGCACTTTCATCTCGGTCTGTGCCTGTTGAAGACGTTGTGCATGCATCAACGAGTCATCTGGTAAAGAGTCTTTTGCACCACCTCTGTCCGGCAACACTCTGTTATGATGGCGTTCAGACCTGTGTGCACTCAGCTCCTCCGCACTAGAAATTCATTATATAAAATGACTGTGACCACCATTGAAAACTTAGACAAGCCCCCTTCTATATTATGAAAAAAAATTATACCCGTATCACTTTTATATCCCAAACGATTTGGGTAATTGCACTTGTCTTCTACTTTACACTAATTAATGGAAGCACAAATGAAGGAAACCAAGTTGTGAATGTTTTTAAAACCATGACCTGTTCGCAATACAGTTTGTACTTTACAATGAAAGGGGTAGCCTCTAGCCATAAATTTCCTATTTGATAGTGTAAAGGCACATAATCAGGGCTGCCAACTCTCACGCATTGACCGTGAGACTCACGCATTTTGACAAAATCTCACGCTCTTACGCTGATCTTAGAATATCTCACGCACAGCAAAAAAATGCTGAGATATCTCACGCATGAATATCTCTTCATGAATAAAACGCTGAAATATGTCACGCACAGCGGAGAGATGATGTGAGCGACGGGAGATAGAGAAGAGAGAGGAGAGAGAGAGAGAAGAGACATGAGAAAGAGAGAGCGAGAGATGAGAGAGAGAGCGAGCGATCGAGCGAAGCGATGAGGAGACGAAGCGAGAAGAGAGAGAGAGAGGAAGAGAGAGAGAGAGAGAACGAGAGAGAGAGAGATAGAGAGAGAGAGAGAGAAAAGAGAGAGAGAGAGAGAGAGAGAAAAGACAGGAGGTAGACGTGTGTGTGACGAGCGATGAGAGAAGAGAGCACAAGGGAAAGAGAGCGATAGCGAGCGAGCTGAGAGAAAGAGAAAGAAAGACAGAGCACAACGGGGAGATGAGTTGACGAGAGAGAGAGAGAAGAGAAGAGAAAAAAAGAGATGAGAGACGAGGAGAGAGAAGCCGAGAGGAAAGAGAGAGAGAGAGAGAAAGAGATGAGAGATAAGAGAGAGAAGAAGAAGAGAGAGGAGAGGAAGGAGAGAGAGAGAGAGAGAACGAGGAGAGTGAGCGAGAGAGAAAGAGAAAAAAAGAAAGAGAAGACAACGAGGGAAGTGATTGTGAGCGAGGAGAGAGAGACGAGAGGAGAGAAAGAAAAGAAAGAGAGAGACAACAAGGAGAAGTGAGTGGAGCATGCAAAAGAGAGAAGAGAGAGAGAGAGGAGAAGAGGTGGGAAGTGAGAAGGGAAGGAGAGAGAAGAGCCGAGGAAAAGAGAGAGAGAGGAGAAAAGAGAGAAGAGAGAGATGAGAGATAAGAAAGGAGAGAAGAGAGAGAGAGAGGAGCTATTTATGTTGTCTATTTTAAGTTATTAACCTATACTACACAATTATGTTGCCTTAAACTACAATATAGAAATTTATGCAAGGCTACCTTTATTGTAAGTAACAACTGTATGCGAACAGTCATGTTTAAAAAAATCACATTTGCAGTGTTGTATCCGAACAGCTCTTCGTCTGAACCGGTCTCGAGACGCGTTTCCTTGGTCTCGGTCCGTCTCGCCCAGGAGCAATACTGGGATCGACTGACTCGGCCTGCCGACATCGATGAGGGCCGGTCAGACAAGGCTTGAGCCACTAAAACATAGTATCGTAATCTGTTTGTCGCGCTTAATCGCGCGGGCCGAGTTCACGGCGCATCTCATCGTATTCAACCACGGCATAAAAGGTACACAGGCCGCGAGGTAAGTCATAGTCTACTGCGCTGCAGCAATGAATATAAGGCAGAAAGGTTAAAATGATTATGAACCTATGTGCGAGTAATAGTAGTAACAATGACCTCTACCATCGAAAGGGTAGATGTACAGAGGAACAATTTCCAGCCAAAATTTCATAGCAAATTCATAACAGAAATCAAATTGCAATGAATTGGATAAATTGTATAGAATTATTTCCCGACAATCACAGGATAATTTAACCGGCAGTGAATGCTTGGCGGTTATCGATGTTCGCCTGTGAAAAGGCACAGCTACGCAGCTAAACTAGCGAATTTGAGCCACGGCTGTCGCACGTTAAAAAGCGGCCAAGCTGGCACTCGCACCGCTCCGATAATGTCGAGTGAAAATAATATCGGGCCGGCGAGTGAAAGCTAAACACTCGCACATTGTTTGGCAGTAAAAATAATTTTCTAAGAACATTAAACAAATGTTGGTTCTCTTACGTTATTATATATTCCAAACATGATGAAATAGCAGTCTAAGGCGATTGTGAAGGGCGGCTAATCCGACCCATCGACCACGACATCCTCATACTTTTAATTATCAAAGTGACGAAGAAAGCGCCCGCGTAGAGCGACGCGCCAGCAAGCAGGGCTGTTTAATATCGTGCCTGGGCGGATATTGATGATGTATCGGGGGGGGGGGCGGTGCAGGATTATAAAAAGTTACGTTGGCCTTGTGTAACAATCAACTTAAAATGGCGTAACGTGCTTTCATTGACGGGCAAAGCAGCCGAAAAAAAATAAATGTAATCATGTATGTTCGTTTACATCTCGCATGGGCTGCATCGAACAACATGCGATATAAAAAAATATGCGTAGGCAAATACTGAAAATACAATCGCGAATTGAGATCGATACCGGAAAATATTCCATGCTAGGTAGTAGGTACTAAGTACAGCACTCTATTGGTTCAATACAACGTGTCCATTTTCGTAAAACTACATAAATGGATCCTTAACTTAGACACTTTCGTGACTCGTTCTCATGTGTTCGGCTGACTAACACTTTTCCGAATGTCTACGATGCACGGTTTCGCTTTTTTTCCAGATCAATATCATAAGCAACTCGTATGATGACATAATCTAACATTCTACATACAATAGAAATGTTTGTCAATCGTAAAATGCATAAGCGTGATACGAATTTTGTAATTTTACTTTTAAACTTATTTGCCAACAACTTTATTTTCCTAATGCGACAGTAAATATCTGGTCGCAAAAGTGTCGACTATCATTTATGGTACCTTCCATTATGCATAACAAGTGACAGATCAGGGGAAGGAAAACCCCTCCCCATATATTGAACACAATACATAGAAGAAATGCCTTATGTGCCCCTTTTTTTATCACAAAAGGATCGACTCGTTCGACTCGGTACTCGGGTGTGGATCGAACCGGGTGTGCGGACTCTGACTGGACTCGACTCGATCTCGACATCTGCATCGAACCGAGGGGTGCGGACTCGACGATAACAACACTGCAACTGTTTCTCTTGTGCTTCCATTAAGTATGTAAAGTAAAACAATGCAATTACCAAATCGTTTGGGATAAATAAAAGTTGATACGAGTATCATTTTTTATTCATACTATAGAAGGTCTTTGTTAAGTTTTTTATTTCAATGTGTCCACAGTCATTTTATATAATGAATTCTAGTGCAAAGGAGCTGAGTGCACACAGGTCTGAACGCCTCATAACAAGGTGCCGACAGAGTCGTGGAAAAAAGACTCTTTACACAGATGACTCGTTGAATAGCATGCACAAGCGTCTTCAACAGCCAGACCTGAGATAAAAGTGTGTTGAAGATCAAAGAGTACACAAAAGTGAAGGAGATTTTATTAATTTATTAATTACGTTTGCATAAAAATAATATTAGACAAAGACTAACCATGTAAGAATTAAATGAATTATTACCCCCAAAATTCCTATCATTCAAATATTAACAGTGAAAAGGATTGTAAATAGTATTAACTTATTTTCTCCTTAATTTAGGTTAAACCTTTCACAAGGCAATGGATCCAAAAGCACAAACTTGTGGAGTGTCACTAAATGCACGTAATAAAATAATTTGCATGTATAGGCAGTGTTCTCCAGGCCTATTTATTTATATGGCTGTGAGGTGAGCATGTTTACTGGTTTTGGCGTTCGAGGTCAGCAAAGTGAGCAGCGTAGTACTGGGCCAGATAGGTCTGGGGGATGCTCCCAGGGAATTTTTGAGAAAATGGTGCAATTTCGTGCATATCAATTCTAAGCCTAATTCTGAAACACATTGTATGAAAACTTAAATACCTATTTTTAAGTTCATAAGCTTTCATGAAGCGATGCATGGTGCGAATTAACGCACCCGCAGTCAAACTCCCTGATTACTGTCGACTCCCTTATTTGACATATGCAGGAGCGTTTGACTCCCTGAAAATTATGCTAGCTAACTAGTTCGTCAGAGCTATACTCGCGGCCAAATATACCATCGTCACCTCTCCCTCTTAGCCAAATCACCACCAACCCCGAAATTTGGCAGACGTGCACAAAAAATTTTTGCAGTAATACTTGATATACCTCGACCTCTTTTTATGGTAGGGAGTCCGATTGCTTGCTTGTTCAAAAGATTAAATTTAAACCAGTGGCTTATATAACAGCCGAGTATATCTGACGGCTGCCGCAGTTCCCTTTCGATTTCCTAAGTCCCGGGCAGTTTTCTTTTTTGCGTATTTCAAGTAAACAGGGTAAGGGTTAGCCGAGCTATAAGCGATAGAGAGGTAACGTTAAACGTTAAAGAGCTAGAGATTAGAGGTTTTAGCTCATACTGACATAGCTCAGCATAACAAGCTATAAGAATCCTTTGACATCAGTTCCGTCCGTCTGCTGTGCCTCCGCTCGTCGTCGTGTAAATTGCAACAAATCTTAACGCTAGACGTACGGTACATATCTCGGCACATCATGGTGGGGATTGTCAAACGAGTTTGGGATGTGAAGCTGGACAGGCAAAAGTCAACAGTCAAGAGGTTGTAAGGGCGAGGAGGCGTAAGAGAGGGGAAGGGGAACATATCACACCTTCTTAACATAAAGGTATAAAGACGGAAATGCAGAATTGCGGCAACAAACCTAAACGCTTCTACCTATGGCTCGTTATAGTCGTGTACTAGCCTCATGAGAAAAGCTCATCACTGGCCGAAATTGAGTCAAGGTCAAAGGCAATGGGCCAGAAACTTTTAAATTTTCTGTAGGACAAGCCCCCGACTGGTCTACGGAGCGATTGAAAATATTTTTTGTTTCACGGTACCTAGCATTTTTATGGCATATTTTGAAAGGACACAATCTTTACTTTGCTGAAGCG